TATAATCACAAATGAGTAAAAATTCCTGCACCTGCAATCCCTTCTCCGTGGATGCGAAATGACACTCACCAACGTGAAGAGCAGAAGACCACCCTCTTAAGCGAAACGCAAGCTACCCATTTGCAAACTCAAAGGCCAAATTCCCCAGCCAGACTCCTCTCCTTTGCGAATGTGGACTCCCCCACGGGAACGCGATACCCAGCTCCACAACACTACGCAATCACGACCACTAATCCATGAACGTGATGCACAAATCCAAGTCAGCCAAGAAATCCTTCTCTATGATCGTGAGACTCTACTCCATGATCGTGTAGCACTGCAACCTCACAAACAATAAGTTGTTGCAAACTCAATGAAAATGGTCTGAAACCACCTCGAACCCCACTCGAGCCCCCCCCCCCCCCCTCCCTGGACCCCGTCTAATCATTCCAATAGATCCATACACTTCATACAAACTTGTCTCAACGATCGAAACATAAAAAACAACAACAAAAATCAAGAATTGAAGATCAAATCAATCTCTTAACTTCCAAACTTCTCAACTTCGTCAAATGCATCCGAATCATACTTAGATATTCCCTATTACATCCCAAATTTGCACACAAGTTCAATTCAACGCTTAGGATCTATACAAGGTCTCAAAACCACAATCAAATCTCATTAACCCTAAATCAATTACCAATCAAACTTAGGAACTCTCCAATTCTTCAAATTGCCACCTTTCGACAAATAGAGTTAAAATCTTTTAGGAACATCCAAAATTAATTTCAAACATATTCCAAGTCCAAAATCACCATAAGAACATATAGGAACTATCAAAATACTAATCTAAGGTCGTTTACTCAAAATTCAAATTTTGGTCAACTCTTACAACTTAAGCTTCTAAAAATAGAACTAAGTGTTCCAATTCACTTGCAAACCTTCTCAAAACCAAACCAACCATCGCCGCAGGTCATAAAACACCAAAGGAAACTACGAGAAGCATCAAATACGGGAACAGGGTTTTAATAGTCCAAACGACCAGCCACTTCGTTACATAGCGCAATTTGTCTTTTCACATTAATACCAGTGTACCCCAAGGAGAAATGCTAGTTCTACTGAACCCTTTCGAAGCAAATCTTGAAACTGCTCCTTCAACTCTTTCAACTCGGTTGGAGTCATGTGGTATGATGAAATAGATAAGGGCTGAGGGCCTAGAACCAAGCCAATACCAAAATCGCTATCCCTATTGGTGGCATACACGGCAATATGTAGGGAACACCTTACCGAATCCATAGGAGGAACCTCCATACTAGAATCCCGAATAAAAGTCAAATATGTTAGATATCCCTTCTCAACCATACGTTGAGCCTTCCCGAGTGAAATTACCTTACCTATAGAATGACCAAGTGATCCTCTCAACTCTAATCTAGGAAACCCTGATATAGATTAAGCCACAGTCTTGGCGTGACAATCTAAGATAGCATGATACATAGATAACAATCCATGAAGGAATGACCTCAAAATCCACCATGTCTAACAACAATAGATTCACCATCACATCATATCCATTAATATTAACTACACAAGACCGATAAACCCGATCCACTATAATAGAATCTCCGCATAGACACATAAATAGAAATATCCAAGGAATCACAAGACATACCTAAATATGATACAAGTAAGATGACACATAAAAATAAATAGAACTTAGATCAAACAATAACATAGCATCTCTATGACAGACACAGATAATACCTACAATGACTGTATCAGATGCCTCTACCTCAGGCCAACCAGGGAAATCATAATAAGGAGCCTGTCCTCCACTGGTCTGTCCTCCTCTAAGACAACCTCTAGCTGGCTGAACTCCACCTCTAGCTAGTTGGCCTCTACCCCTAGCTGGCTAGGCAGATGTTGTGGCAACTGGGGTTGCAATCATAGCTTGAGTACCTTGATGAGACATACCACCTCGAATACTAGGGAAATCTCTCCTAAGATACCTCAAGTATCCACACTCAAAGCAATGTCTTTTTTGGCATGGCTGATGAGACCGAGTCAGTGTCGGACAACCAGAATAACCACCATAAGAAGGCACATTGTAGGATGCCTGCCTCGAATGAGTACCATGAGAACCATGGCTAACTACAACACCGTGAGAAGTCTGAAGCGCCGAGTGAACTGGCCTACCAAGATGACCTCTACAAAAAATAACTCTTGCCTCCAGACGAGGCACCACTGAATCCTCCTGAATGACATATCCTCTTATCCTTTGTTGTCCTGCTCCCCTGACAACAAATGCGCTCAATCCTCCACGCTATCTCCACTGCCTGCTGAAAGGTAGTCCTGTTCTTTGTCTCCCTAGTCATATTGAGATTAATTCCAAAATTAATCCCCTCAAGCAACCTCATCGCCTTTTCATTCTCGGTTGGAATCAAGAGACGTGCATAACAATACAACTCCTTAAATCACATCTCATACTGAGTAACAATCATATTATCCTATTGTAGGTACTCAAACAGACTGCACAACTCATCTTTCCCGATGAGCATAATGAACTTCTCCAGGGAAAGAGTAGAAAAGTAAGTCCAAGTAAGAGGGAATGACTCTGCTGGTCTACTCTGCTCATAATTCTTCCACCACCTCTTGGATGGCCCTCTCACCTAACTCCATTAGACTATACTAGACCCGAATTGCACAAAATCTCATGAAACTTATCCAAAAGTCCTGAGCATCAGCTGTGTGATCACCATCAAAACGCTGCAGATGTAACTTCTGGAATCGATCCGTCATCTTCTGCTTATCAACAGTCATAAAAGGCCTAACCACAGTAATAGGTTGAACTGCCCCAACTGATGGAATAATCAGAACTCCTGGAGTTTAAAACATAGTAGTGGCATGTTCTTGAGTATGAGTAGCTGAGGTCTGAAATATAGCGAACGTGATGTAGGCTTCCCAAATACGGTGGTCATTGGCCACTGGTCTTTGCGAACGCAGGAGTCCCTTCGCGAACATGAAGAAGGAAATTCTCCCAGGTATAAATAGAGTTAAAAATACATATTTAGCCACTTTTTACTATTTTTGGGACTTAAATCGCGGATTGAGGAGATGTTTTAGAGTATTTTCACCCAAACTTCAAAGGTTAGTAATTTAACTTAGTTTTAATTTATTTCTATGATTTCCCATAAATTTTCATCCTTAAATCTAGGATTTTAAAGTGTATATATTGGCGTCTTAGGACAAAACTTAAGAGAGTTAATTTTGGGGATTTGGAGATTTTGATAAAAATCACATATTTGGACTTAGAAAATAATGAATAATCGAGAATTTGTCTTAATTTCATAATTTGACCATGTGGGCTCGGGTTAACTTTTTATTTACCTTTTCAAATATATAAGTATTGAATTTTTTTGATACTAGGATAGTTTCTAAAGCTTGTTTTGACTTATTTGAGTATTAATTGACTAGATTCGAGTTATTTGGAGGCTTGTGCTAAGCAAAAAGCGGTTTTGGAGAGTTGATTTGTTTTGGAAAGATGTAAGTGTCTTGGTTAACCTTGATTTGAGAAAATTAAATTGTAATTGCATCTATTTGCTACATGCTATATGTGTTGGGGGCAACGTATATGCATGGTAACGAGAGTATATGTGTTTGTCAGGGTTAAAGCATGCAGGTAGAATTACTCTATTTCATGTCTTGTTTGCTTTATATGTAATATTCTCTTATGCTTTGTTACTTTGTGAAACTACTTGGTTATTCTCATACATGCTAGTAGCTATGTTTAAAGCTCTGTTGAGACATTTGGAAATTATGGTTCTTGAGATATTGGCTCGTTTGACAGTGCAAAGGTTGTGATTATTTCTCATGCTTTATATTATGCTTAATTGCTCTTCTTGATGCTTTTTATGCTTCCTACCTTGCTTGGTATTATTTTATATATGCTTGGTGACGAAGAGTGATTGCTCGAAGGGTGAATCCGTGGTTGTGAGGAAGAGCGATTATGCACGAAGGGTATTTCCGTGGTATTATTACTATTGCACAAAAGGTGTTTCCGTGCTTGTGAGGAAGAGTGATATATATATATATATAAAGGAGTTTCCGTACTTGGTGAAATGAGAGGTATTGTCGTGCTATTTGATATGATATATTTTCCTCTTTGCTTTTATTATGCAGATTTGTGGACTTGGCTATGTTGTTTCATGGTTATCGTTTCATTCTCTTGGATTTGAGATGTTATGAAAGGTTTGGTTGTGTTAATTGAGAAAATAGAATCGTTATTTCCCTTAGTTGATTATTTCACTATTCCTCGTACTTCTTCTTGCTATTTCTTTTGTCACCACACTAGTTATTTCTCTTTTTTTTAATTGTTCGGGTTAATATAGTAGGTGTCTTGTCTTAGCTTCGTCTTAGCCTCGTCACTAATTCGTGAGGATTAGGCTCGGCACTTACTTAGTATATTGGGTCAGTTGTGTTCATACTACACTTCTGTACTTCTTGTGCAGATTCTAGATATGGTATTAGTGGTGTTCCGAGGGTGACTAACTTGGACGTCTGGGAGACTCGAGGTAGTGTTGCATTCCCATTCGCAGACTCTGGAGTCACCTTCCTTATCCTTGTTGCTATTTATTGTATCAGGCAGTGTAGTTCTTCATTTCAGACTCTATATTTATTACTCCTTACAAGCTCATGTACACAGTGACAGCAGTCCTGGGAGGTCATTAGGCAGTTGTATTGCTTTAGACTTTTTATGTAATTTCTAAATTTTACATTTATTTATGATTTACGTTGTATAATGTTAGTTTTGTATATAGCAAGCGGTGTTACGACTCCTTGGTTGAGATTTCGTGTCGTGACATAGAAAGAATTTGATATTCTACTCAATTAAAAATCACACCAAGTTCTTGTTTGCATCTGGACCCAGGAATCTATAGAAAGCAACTACGAATACATTTATTAGTATTAATACCGAGCGTTCTCCTTGCCTGATTTTCAAGCTATTCAACAAACAATCAGGCTGATATGCCGGAGCAGTGGTTTCATTTGCAATAATGCCTTGAGAGTGGCTAAGATGCCACAAAAGAATTACAAATACCAAATAAACATAGCTTGTATGCATCAGGGCAAAAAGTTTTGAAAAGCCCCCAACATCAATAAAATTCTAGCCAAAAGAACTCTCATAAATCCTCACTAATCAACATGTTTCCTCTACACAATTGATCAAACCAACGCCATTACAGGGAAAAGAAAAATAATAAAATTGAATTGACAAGCTATACATCTGGTTAACCGTGTGAAGATGCCATTCTTGTTGCCACTGGAAGAGGGTTTTCCAGCAACTGTAAAACCAAAACAGCAGAGCCTTCTTGAATGATAAAATTGCTACACTGGAATAACATCAATCTTTGAACTGTCCTCACATCTCAATACAATGCCCTCCAGACTGGCTGGAAGAATGCATTTAGCCCACTGACATCCCGTTGAAAATGGCTCTGGAGGAGGAACAATCATCAAAACGTTATCGTTCCGCTGGACAACTCCCATTACACTGACAGTGCTACCTTCTTTTATATACCTGAACATAGATGTGGTAGAGGAAGCAGATATAAAAAAGCTAATAAATACATTCACCAATAATGCAAATCAATAAAACTGTAGAGGGTAGATCCTGCATCCAGATATGATTGAGCATGTTGCCTCTCAATAATCAAAGAAGTATGCAAGCAGAAGAAATATTCAAGTTTCTTTGAAATTGAGTTAAATCATACCCTTCTTTCAATCGCATTATTCGGTCATCACTGGATAGATTTCTGTCTGCCAGCCATCTAACAAACTGGGGTAACATGTCCCTGTTTGATTGATCGATATCTACAATAATAGACTCTTCAACATAAGGGGTTACTCTTGCACCATATCCAGTTTTGACCAAAGCCCTTAATCCAGACTGGAAATCGGAGATATAGAAATCAGTGACATGCCGCTGCAAAGACAAAGAAAGCATTCAGTTTTCTGTAAGAATTATGAACTACACAGCATATAGATGAACATTATATGCTAACAATAAATAAAGTGAAGGAGAAGGGCGGGATGGAAACGACAAACAAGGGAAGGAGGTCCAAATGAACTTACAATGACATCACATAACAGTATCAAACAAACAAGGCATTCAAACTTCTCTTAACATCTCCACATGAACTCACTGGTCTGACATATTTTGCAACCTTAGAAGTCTTTAGAACACTTCAAGGTATCAATAGTTTGCTAGAACATGGAGACATATAAGCCGCATTTTGTCCCTTTGCCTAGAACTTTTCCCTTGTTTAGTTGGAGCAGTGATTTGAAGCAGGTTTGATTGATTTACTTCCAAATGTAGACAAACTTTCTTTTCTATACTAAGCTGAAGTACAATTTGTTTACAGGTGATAAGTTAATTTGTGGTGAGCTAGGAAGATATCCAGTCAAAAGAGCATCGGAATTCCTATTTCTCCCTTGAAACAAGAATTAGATAGTTCCCTAAAAGTTGGAGTCTTCTTCCTATTGACTGATTCAGTTTTCATGTTTTCTGGTCTATACGACTTATCTCGAAGGACCAGATTTTACGACTTTATGTAGGAGGTTATTTAGAAGATTCCTTGAGTTTCCTTTATCCATATTATTTTTCTTTCCTTATTCAGATTGTATTTCACCACATTCCATAAAACTCTCTTATTTAGACCAAGGAAAACTCTCTTATTTAAATCAAGGAACTCCCAATGTTGAAAACTCATAAAGCAGTGCAACATGCTTACAACTCCAGATTAGCCCAATTCTTCATTGATGTTTTTTATTTTCTCAACTCTAAGCTGCCTTCTTTTTTGTTTGACTTAATGTCTAGCTCCTGAAGTTAGAGACCTGAAGATCTCTATCTTTAAAGTTCCTCCATGCAAAAAGAAGAGAACATAAACAGCATACGTATAATTCTTGAACACATTCTTGTTTTCAATATTTCTTTTGGGGAAAAACCGCCTGCTCTCCAGCACTTGCTTTGTACAATGCTTGGGCCATAAAACACAAAAGAAAGCAAATAAATAAAAAAAGTAAGCAATATTCATATAACAATTATTTAGTTTCCATCATCATGGGCCACCAATGCAAGGAGGAATGCACAGTATCATTGGTTCTTTCAAAATGAACAAAAGGGCTTATACGATCTTTCCTCACCTCCATTGCACGAAGCCCCCAAGAAAACCGGCGATGTTCTGCGTTAGCAGTTTTTGAATCCCACCCTCGGTACTCATATAAGCTTGTGACTGTATAAACACATCTAGGAACCTTCTGAAATGAGGATTCAAGAGGAACATTTCCACAGGTAACAACCTGCAAAATCAGAGAACCAGGATAGGATATCCAAAATGTGTTCAGAATCCAACAAGGACAACATAAAAAATCGTAATATATAAGCTTAACAATATCTATTAAATCCAAGCAAGTTACTACAATAACTGTAGGAAGAGTATTTTAAGCTCTCAAGAAGACAAGTTAAACAAAAAAAGAAGTTTTAAAAGGAGAATTTTACATAAGTTAGAACAATAAAGAATCCATTTTCCAAATAAATATTTTCCTCAGCAGCCAGTAGAATACAGTTGTAGAATGTAGAATAATCATCTATATCATTGCAGCCCATGTCAGAAGTGCCTAAAAGAGAATATTAAAAATTTCGCAGGTTATTTCAATTGCAGCTCTCCATTATACAAAGGATACCTTATAATTTAAATCCCAGGATCCCCAATAACAGAGTTTTTCATATTTTCAACATTATTTCTTTTGGCAAAGCAATTGAAAGAATTTGTTTCACCAAAACATAATAAAACCAAAAGTGAATATAGAACTTATAATCATCATTAGCAGTCTCATAAACAGAATAGAAACCATGATACTCCAGTGATAACATATTTTCATAATTCAACACGAAAGCATCTATTAAAGGCACAAACTAAATCAAGAGTTAAATAATCCATTAATAGAAAACTAACAGTAATACCCCACTTACCATCACTACTTACCAAGTTCACATCTCACCTGACTTTAGTAAAGGGAGGATAACTTTGACAAACTGAGAAATGTAGGAGCAATTTGAACAAGAGAACGAGATAGAAAGAGCGGTAAACGAAGTACACAAAGGTTTCGCGCAAAGACAATACATACCCCAGAAACTTTAACAAATTGGCCATCTTTTGCAGTTCTAAGCTCAGCATCTGGGTACTGAGAAATGAAACCAATGATAGCTTTTCTTCCATAACAAGTATTCCACGTGAACACCGCGCTGACTACAGCAAAAAGGACAATAACAACTACGAGGAGAATGGGATTGCGGACAGCACCAAGGATAAAGCCACCAGCAATAAATCCCATCACAAATAAAAGAATGATGGACCAAAATATTGGCTTTGGAAAGCTCTTGCGGAAGGAATATTCGTCACCTTGGTTAATGCGAGTAACAGCTTGGTTATTAACTATAGCAGAATGCTGCAATTTGATAGACCCTGTTGAATCCAAAGGACCTGACACTTTTCGAGGAGCTCCAGCAGAGTTTAGAGGACCAGATGTAATGAGGCCTGTGGTAGGGAGAACTGGGGGGATAGGTCCAGAATTTTGGCGGGACGAAACAGTACCTACACCACCTTGAGGACCAGAGGACTTCTTCATAGGCTCCCCATGTTTATTTAAAGGCCCAGAATTGGTCTTCTTCAGAGAAACAGATCCAGTACCTCCAGCAGAAGTCATACGATTGACTGAATTCAGTTGACCTGAATGAGAAGTAGCGCCACCAAAGGATCCAGTTCTCAACGGGGCATTGTTGATAGGTCCAGATTTCCGTGATCTCGAGCCATCCGTTGTTGGGATAACAAACATTTTTCCGAGTTCTCCAGACTTTTTGATATCCCCGCCTGTATAAGGCATGGCAACTGAGCTCATAGTTGGAGTCCTTTCTTTTGGCTGCTCAGGTCGGCCAGATACATAAAGGCCACTGCTCAACTGATGAGACGGGAATCGAGAACCCATTATAAGGCCAAACCTAAACTATCAGCAAGACGCCTAATGGCAATGCACGTGGACAGTCCCCCTAACACCCTTGAACAGAAACTTGTCAACAGGCTCTAAAACTTGCTTTTGCTCACCGTATCCAACAGTGTGGCCGTACCTATTTCAATAGAAGTACTGTTTAAACATTTAGATAGCAGTAAATACCACATTTTTGAGAAAAGCACATCAAGGAAACTGATCCACCATTAGAACAACATATTTTTGTGTGACTATGAACCATCTCATTAAGGGTAAAACTGGAAGTTTAAAGTTAACATGTTTCTAAAGCACATTAGGAAACTGATCCACTCATACTGGACTTAATGGGAAAATCAAAAAGATCAATCACAAAAGTATAGCTTCCAATAAGTACCCCAAAATCACAAAGGAAGCAAATTCCAACATCAAATACATTCTGAAATGATTAAAAAATGATCAGAATGATGTGCGGCAGCAAATGCAGAGAGATTTGAGTTGCCATTTAGCAATAACAGAGACAGAAAGAGGGAATAACAGAGTAGTAGCATGACACATTCATGATAAATTACAGATCTGGAGGCCAGTTCACTGAATTTCTAGTCAACTCAAACAATGTGCGCATACATTACAACAAAGGAAAATAATAAAATGCAGACATAACCAATTTGCATTAAGAAACTGAATGTAATAGATCAGAAGAAGATAGAGATCACAAACCCTAAACATTTGGGCAACGAAACAAGGGAATGTAAGATGAGAGAGAGTGGGGGAGTAGAATTACCTAAGAAAGAAAATGAGAGAAGCAGTAACATGATGATTTGGTGGATCAACAGAAAAGAGTAAGGTAGTGGTGCTTGTGGGTAATAATACTGTGGTGTTGTTGTTGGTAATAATACTGTGGTGTTGCTTTCTTTGATGGGGAAATAATAGTGGAAACTGATAACAGACCCTCCACCTTCCTTTCTTTTGCTGCTATCCTACTTCTCTCCCTTTTCTAGCTCACTGTTTTTACTTAGAAAACTTTTTTAACCTTTTTGTGTGCGGTCATATTTCTCATCTATATACAAATTTTAAACCAGGAAAAATAGCGAAAAATATGTGCTTCTTGTACAAAAATTAGTTTAGTAACTTTTTTGATACTTAAGTAAAGTTAAATAATTTTTTATTATAAAAAATAATTTAATAATTAGTGTAATAAAATAAAAATTAAGTAATAATTTCTGAAACTAACCCTTCCTGATAATCACATAACGTTTAATGGCTTTCATAATACTTTATGTAAAATTGAGTGTCTTGTTCTGTACAAAAATTAACAGTAAAGTAAAATTTAAATAACTACTCATAAAATTAATCGTAAATTCCTAAAAGGAGAATTATAATGTTGTAAAATACAATTGAGATCTCAAATTTTACAACATTTTGATTAAAGAATAAAATATTAAATTCATTGAAACAGTGGACAAAAGAAAGCAGTACTTGCGAACCATAGATTTATTGGGAAACGGCTAAATCCGAAAACAAGGACAAATATACTAATATGCACTCTTTTTATTTTTGGTAAATAAAACTTTTATCATCAAGTAAATTTTGTATCGCCAAAAAAGAAAAAAAAAATTAAACTGCACAAATAAGCCCCAGCTCCAGAGCAAAAAACAAGTATAACATCTCCCCTATAATTACAAATCTTTTCATCAACCTCCAAACAACATTACCAGACTAGGAATGTGCGATAGGAATGGAGGTTGTATTTGGTATCTTGTGCGATAGGAATGTGCCACCAAGACTTAAGGATAAGTTCTACAGAATGGTAGTTTGATCGACTATGTTGTATGGAGCCGAATATTGGCCAGTCAAAAAATATCCTGTCCAGAAGATAAGAGTAGCAGAAATGAGAATGTTAAGATGGATGTGTGGGCATACTAGGAAAGACAAGATCATGAATGAAGTTAATAGGAACAAGGTAGAAGTAGCTCTTGTGAAGACAAGTTGCAAGAATCGAAGATGAGATGGTTCGGGCATGTGAAGAGGATAGGCACCAATGCCCCGGTTAAGAGGTGTGAGAAGTTGACCGTGGCAGGCCAGAGAGGGGCAGAGTGTGGTCTAAGAAGTGTTGGGGAGAGGTGATTAGGCAAGAAATGATACTGTTTCAACTTACTAAGGACATGACCCTCGACAGGAAAGTGTGAAGTTCGAAAATTAAGGTTATGGGTTGACAGGTAATTGAGAGTTTCTCCTTGTTCTATCAGTAGTAATAGCACTAGTCTTGTATTTTTCTATTCCTACTTCCTTATTATTACATGGTGTGTCGCTATTACCATTAGTTGGCACTAGTCTTGTATTCTCGTAGTCCTTGATCTTAGTTATTACATGTTTTGCCTTTTGCTTCCGCTGCCTTATACCTTGTTATTTCTATTAATTGGTTATTGCTTCCTTTCATCGTTCTTGAGATGAGGGTCTATCTTAAATAGCCTCTCCACCTTGATAAGGTAGAGGTAACGTATGTGTACACATTACCCTCACCAGACCCCACTAGTGGGATTTTAATAGGTTTGTTGTTGTTCTTGGTGTTGCTTTTCCAATGAGGGACAAATTCCTTTGCATAAAGGAGTGTTACGAACCAAAATCCCACCTCAGGTCGTGATGGCGCCTAGGCATACTTGTTAGCAAGCCAACTCACAATCAACAGAATATAGTTCAGGTTCCTTTAATTAACATAGTCATATCATAAATAATGATAGAAGTAATCTCAAAATAATATATTATCTACTATAAACATAACATGATCCGAACACGACCACAAAATGGTACAACCCCCAAGAACTAGGTGACACAAGTACACAAGCAACTACTGTATAAGTACAAGTCTGAATACAAAATCAAAATTGTATGTGAAAAAGAAAATAGACAGGAGATAAACAAGGATAGGGACTTGGGCACTGCGATATGAATCCATACAGTGCAGCTCGCCCTAAGTTTCTGAGCAATCGCCTAAGCTCAACAAGAGGCTCCGCTAGAACCACCTGAGGATCTTCACAAATAGATGTTCAAAAGCGTAATATGAGTATACCACAATCGGTACCCAGTAAGTATCAAGCCTAAGCCTAACCTCGAAGAAGTCGTGGCGAGGCTATAGGTATCAAGATACTTACAACACAGATAAATAATAGAGACTTGAACTGAAACAGTAAATATCCCCATGAATAGTAGGTATCAAAGATGTCAATAATCGACATGTATAAGGCATGTTTTTTCCAATCCAAGAGATAATCATAGCACTGCACAGATATAGTATTTAAATATGGCATGCTTCAATCAATGGAGTCGAGGCTCCCAACTAGTATATATAGGTGACATGCATCAGTTAGCATTAAATGAATGTTTCTAAATGAATCAAGGATGCCTATGCATGCTCAAGACTCTATCTTTTACCATGATCACTACAAGATCAATGTACCCCGATACAAAATTTATGTATCACTGTAACCCGATACAAAATTCATGTATCACTAAAACCGATACAAAATCTTTGTATCGGCCCGATACACAATCCATGTTCCACCACGCTCACATGGCCCAAAGTAACACGAGTAATCACTTGACTCCGGAGGGACGGTACCAAATCCAAGCTCAAAAAAGATCTTGATAGCTCACTTATAATCAAATATTCGATCATCATGTCCTGTTCCAGAACTGTATTTCGACCGCAAAACCTTGCCTTTCGTGCCATAATCTCAGTCCAAATCAAGTGTCCAAATATAATACATATGCATATGCCAAGAATTAATAGATAAAAGATGTACAAGGACTTAATAATAATTATGTAGATATAATAAAATTTCTATGTGACTGCGGATGATTCAAGCAATTCAACATATCAAGAATAAGCCTTCATACCTTCATAATTAATCAAAAACCTAGGCATGATCTCTAGCAAGAAAAAGAGAGTGGGTGTATTCATATAAGCCAAATAAATCATGAATCAAGATGAGCACTTACTCAAAACAAGGCATAAAGTACCTCAATTCCAAGCCCGACAAGATATATACTTGGTAATTTCATATACTCCCGCTACCATGTATATACACCACCCCATACCTTAAACACATAGCAATCAACTCAAATCCTAGGGGGTTCCCTCTTAACAAGGTTAGCCATGAGATTTACCTTTTCTCGAGCTAGCTTCAACCATAAATCGCATCAAAATCTCGCTCTGGCCCTCCAATCATGCAAATCCAAGCCATATAAATAAATCAAAACAAGTCAAACAATGCTATAAGAAGTGATCCCAAACCGTAATACTCGATCTTCGATAAATTTACAAATAGTCAACCTAGTCCCTCGTGCTCGAAATTCGAAACCAATAGAAAAAACTGATGACCTATAACATGTCATGTCCAAATATATAATTAGTTTGCAAATTCGGGTCCAAATCGATGGTCAAAACCCCAAAATATACTCTCTTAAAGTATAGACAAAAACCCTAAATTTCCATTCAAAATTCCATATTTTAGGTGTAGAAATTCATGTAGATTCTTGAAATACAATCACAAATAAGTAAAAATTACTTGCCCTCTTGCCTTGTATGAATTTCATAAATAATTGCACATCTCCAAGTCTAGGGCTCAAAATATGAAAGAATGAGTAAAAATCCCAAAATATGACACTTATGTGTTCTGCCAAGAAATACCCTTCGCGAAGGCGGCACAAGCCTCGCGTTAGCGAAGCACAAATACTGTTGCCCCAGAAAATAGTGTACGCAATCAGATCTGATGTTACATATTATATTTTCATACGTCAAGTACGTTGTAACCCACTTGACGTAAGCTTTGAAATGAGATCATTCTTGAGATTATACAAAGTAAGTTAATCATGTTAACTTGGACGTTACAAAGTTTTAAGATCATGATCAGCAAGTACCAAGAGGGTTAAAAGTTGAATGACTCAATGAAAATAAGTTTTATCAAAAGCCTGCAAGTTGGAAATGCTATAACCCGTACCTTTGGGGTAAGCCTAGGAGTTCTTAACATACTAAGAAGGTCTTATTAAGAGGTATTTCAATTGTATAATAGTCGTATGTTAAAATTTGAAGTTAAGCGAGTTGTAAAACAAAAGACGTCAAAAGTTGTCACAAGTTACGTTCATAAATTTGTTAAAATTTGGGTCTAATGTCATTGAGCTTTTTTCTCAACGAACTTGGAGTTAAGGGGTGATACACCCATAAAATTAAAGATCTACGAGTCTACTTTACAACACATTAAGTCGTTCATCGATACAACATGAGAGTAGAGAGATATTCACGTTTTTGTGAGACTACACAATCAGCTCCCTTTGGGACTCACAAAGACGGTGGATGCTTATCTTGTTATATAAAGTGGTGGCCTTCGTCTCTAAGACTCATTTTCAACCAAACCATACCTCCAAGTACCTCTAAACTCTCTTTAATATTTTAAAGGTTCATACACAAATCCAAGTCCAAACCACCTAAGTTCTTCATTAAAGTGTTTTTGAAGTGGTGGAGATCACTTATATGATGTTGTTGATGAGTTCTTTCATATTTAAGAAGACTTGTTCTTGGAGTTTTTCTTGCTGTTTAACGGTAAGCTCCTCTTCTCCTACATGGATTTGATCATCTCTAAGCCTTAACTAGGTTGTATAGTTGAGATGTTGCAAGATAGCACTCGAAAGTTGTTTGTGATGTTCTTGAGATGTATTGGGCTGTCTAATATTGTTTTTATGATTAATATAAGGCTGGTAATTATATGAATGTGGTAGTTTGTGTGCTCGGCATTTTAGATGATTTAATCATGTTAGTTTTTAGAAGTTATAAGTTGAAGAGTAGATGATGAAAGCAATTTGTTGAGTGTATTGTATAACATGTAAACATTTTTCTTGGTATGTATAGTTGTTGAAGGTGTTGCTGAGTTGTAGTTTAGTATGTATGAAGGTATTACAAGGGAAAACCCATCTTCCTCTCTATATAGACATGTTGATGTAGTTGTACTTACTCATTTTAA